CTTGAAAGTTTCAAAGCGAAGACTCACTAATTATACTTGCAGCTAGTTTGAAGTAAGAGTTCTCCTCGCATAACCTCTTCAGGCAGAGAGCTCTGCTCGGTTACGTCAACCGTATATATAACCCCCATTTCCATAGAAGTTTCGGAGTCTTTATACTGGTTCCCCGAACCTCCTACAAGCACATCATCAGCTGATAAATATTTACAGAGCTCTGTTACTTTCCAACCGAGTTTATTCTACGTGGCCTTGTCTCGATGCAATCGGTGTACATAATTAAATTACACGATGTCTGCTGAATCTTGTGGAACATGTAACATTACGTAAGGTGGCAGTAGGATTTCCTTGCACTCCAGTTTTCCGTACCATCAGCATTGGGAGCTGTTCGAAAGCTCCTAATACACGCATACAACAAAAACAGCGCTTGGTCGAACGTGCGAGCTGTTCAGTTTTCAAAGTTAATTGACGAGGAAATGGAATTGCGGTTTGAAATATTCAAATTTCGTTTCAGAATAAAATATGGCTCGTTATAGGCGGCTACGGTGTATGGGCATTGTGACGTCACGGGAACAATGACGTACTTATTTAGAATGATAAAATTACAGAAGTATTATGTCACTGCCATCGCGTGGATTTTCTGTACATGTCTGACATCGCGTGACATTGACTGTTGGCACTCACCAATATTGTTGCGCGAGAAGAATTCCGAGAAAAAATACCTGTTTCACCAGGCGATCGTGATAGGCAGGTAGTATTTTAGATCGTATTAGAAATATCAATTTCATTTTTAATCCCAGGAATACACTGTTTAAGAAACAGGCTTATAGAACTGGCAGATAGTAATATTAAACTCACAGGTTACAGGCTTTGAATTGACTTTGAGAAAGACATTTCTAAAGAACTCCCAGCTCAGTTTTCCTCAGAACTTCAACCTATTTCAAAAGCTTTCTTAGTTATTAATTAGCTTTGTTAATATTTTAACGCGATACTATTTCCTCCAGCTTCCATGACTTTGATAACTTAATTTTTAATAACCGTGACATTCGCTATGCTGATCGACCGTTTTCAAAGCTGAAGTTGGCAAATTCTTTTTTTGAGAAGTGCAATGTAGCAAGTACGTTTAAATAAGATCGCTATATAATGAAAATAAAATTATAATAATTATTAATTTACAAGGCATAATATAAACCTTTGCCAATTCAAGCAATAAATATTTCAATTAATAAATGATGGCATTTTTTCGTGTTAATCGGTTTATTAATTACAATGACAATGAATTATCTACCACGTGATAGGGGCTTAGAGGAATGTTTCGCACCATGGTTCATGATGCTTTAGTTGTGGAGTGTAATAATAGTGTGTCTTTACAAGATTAACTAGAACAGGTCAGCAGGATCCCGATAAAAGTGAACATTCTGCATGAGTAAGTGTGCCAAGACCACGGCTCTGTGTACGTCCTTTCGTGCGTGTTCGCTGAATGCAGTTACTGACTCTTGTCTTGACCTTGACACAAATAGTTGGTTTGCCAATAAGATTCTGTTATTGCACGCAGCAGAGACAAACAGAATCAGAATTTAAAAAACGTCGCGAAGTTACCGAGAAACGTTTTCTCGTCACGGAACAAGTAAGAAATTTATCCCCGGGGATTCTTATCATCTTTGCATTAAATTTTGTAACCACTCATGGTACACGACCGCCACGGTGGTCTAGCGGTTAGAACGCTGG